GCTCAGTGGCAAAGCGCCTGCCTGGCAAGCGCAAGATCATGAGTTCGGTTCCCGGTACCGGAGAAAAACCAAAAAAAAAAAAAAAAAAAAAAAAAGAATGAGGCTGATTCAAAAGACACAGGAGAGGAACAGAGACAGAGGAAACATGGTATGGGCCCCTGGATCTAGACATGCCTGAAAGCCATTGTCCCTGGATTTTCCCCTAACGAGGCCTTGTGCTGGGCTGTCATACATAATGTACAGGGTGTGAATGATGACAATGGGATTTCTACACTAGCCTTATCTCCTCTTATGTGGAATTCAAAGCCCCTGACCATGGAAATGGGACCCTATATGCCTTGTATAAACCAAGGTGCCTGGTACACAGTGTGTACTCCTGAAATAATTACCAAAGAAAGACAGTGGCTTTGCAATTGGATGGTCAGCACTTCGGGGTCAGTTTCTGCACACAGGTTAGACTGTTTGGTAGATCTGTTTCCTTCTGTTTTGTTTTCAGTAATGAGTATGGAAACTAGGAGGTAGGTTTTTTTTTTTTATTTTTTATTTTTATTTTGAGACAAGGTCTCACTCCCTGCCCAGGATGGCCTAACAAATGAGATCTCTCCCATCTCTGCCTCCTGAATAGCTGGTGTTATAGGTGTGCACCACCACACCTAGCTTAGTGTGGTTTGTTTGTTTGTTTGGTCTTACTATGTAGTCCAGGCAGGCCTTGAACTTGCTATGTAGCCCAGGCTAGCCTCAAACTCATGATCCTCCTGCCTCAGCCTCCCCTAAGTGCTAGGATTATGGGTGTGCACCATTAGCCCCTGGTTCAGTCTATTTTTTTTAAGCGAACAAGACAAAGTTCCCTGCCCTCATAGACTTGGCATTCTTATGACACCAGGTAGACTGAGCCACACTCTGCCCACACAGGCCACTGGAACATGGGAACTGTCTCAACTAATTTAGTTGCTTTCACCCAAATCCCAACTTTATGCCCACCTGTACGATTCAGGCCACAGCCTATGATCACGTGAGGGTTCTTTAGCATTGCCTCACATCAGCTTAGGGAAGTGGTGGAAAAATCTATGGCATGTGTGCCACAGCAGGCTATTTGTATCATGGGAAGCTCTAAAAGGTTCCCCATCCCTGGCTTAGGGACTGTGCAAACACTGTAGAGAGAGCAAGGAGCACTGACAGAGCTCTCACTGGTGTCCTAGATTGTTAGGTCCAGATCTCTTTTACTCTTTTCTGCGGGGGAGGGGTGGTTTCCTGTACTGGGAATCAAACTCATGACCTTGCGCTTTCCAGGAGGAGCTGTGCCACTGAGCTAAATCCCCAGCCCCTCTTTCACTCTTAATTACAGCCCTAGAAGTTCTTTTACTATCACCACTTTCCAGATAAGAAAACTAAGACCAAGACAAGGTGAAAGGAATTCTGACAGTTATGACCAACGACAAGGTCTCAAACATTCTTAAGTATTTCCCCATATACAAATTCATCCCCCAAACAACCCATGAGATAAATAGTATTCTTTTATCATCCCATTTTACAGATGAGAATCAAGGCACGGAGAGAGCCAACAGCTCGCCCAAGGTCAGCGAACTAGAAAACTGTAGTAGAAATAGGACCTAAGTGCACAAAACTGATACAGAGCCACTTTGCTACGGAAATGTTTGCTACCTCAGTTCACAAATTTCACTCTTTCACGAGAATCATGAGACGGATTCTGTGACAATTGTGGAAACAAGTTCATGAACTGAAGCACCACTGCACTTGCTTCTAAGAAGAGAAAATGGGAGGCCTGGACTTGATGGGGGTTGGGGCTCTGGGGCTCTCAGCCCAAGGATTCAGCTGAGACAGTACTGGCTGGCCACCTAGAGGCTCCAACCGTGAGCCCTGGCTCCATCTCTGTTTTTGCTCCCCCCCACCCCAGCTATACTTTGAGGGGTCGTACTTGACAGTTCCCAGGCCTTTCTCAGCCCTGGTCTCCCTGCCTCTCCAGCCACAGAGAGGTGGACCAGAAGCTAAGAAGCTTCAAAACTGTGTTCCCAAAATATCTGAGCGACTGGCAGATGGAGATGCTGTATGCAGGCGAGGGAGGAGAGAGAATTAGAAATAAAACGAAAGATGCCAGAGAGAACATAAACAGCGTTGGAGGACAGGATGGGGCCTGGAGGTGCTTTCCTACTTCCCTGAGTTTCAAGTTCTCCATCAGAGCAGCAAAAAGGTACTTGCTTGTTTGTTCATACCACACATGTATGCAGTTCGTATTTACTGAATACCTATTAGGTGCCAGCCCGGGCTGGGTGTCGGGACAACTCATCGCGCGGACTGGGGTGGAAACCCAGAAGAGCGTGGTCATCCTTGGAAGAATGCAATGCGCACAAATCTCTTCTTCCACTTGGAATGACACTCAGTGTGACTGAGGCCCAACTAAACCCAGCTGAACTAAAGACACACCACCCCCTGCGCCCCCCCCCCGCGCCCTGCCAGCTGGTCTCACCAGCTTGCCAAATAAAACAAGGGGCCCAGAACACCCCCATCTGCAGCCAAGATGTCTACAGAAACTCAGCCTTACCCTCTCTCACACCCCTAAACACCCTCTCTGAGAGAGAGAGACAGACAGACAAGCAGGCAGGCAGACAGGCTTCTGAGGTTGATTTCAAAGCAGTTTTACTCACAGCCAGGGAGGAGTCTGGGCCGGGAAAGGTCCCAGAATCTCAACTTCATCCTCGCTCGACTGGCAACAGCTGGACTCATAGCACTTCTGACAGCAATGCCGGCAGGTCCATCTGCACAGCAGCAGATCAGAGATTCTAGAAAGAAAACCCTGAGGCCATGCGGGGAAGGGGTGTGAGGGAGAGGGCGAAGGGGGGCGGCAGGGAGGGTGGAGAGGAAGAACAGGAGAAACAACACCCAAAATTACAAGCAGCCCAGTCCTGCAAGAGACAAAGACATTCAGAGTTCTGTCTCAGAACAAAATGTTTCCCATTCCTATTTACCAACCGCAGGCACAGACTGGCAAACATAACTCGGCGCAGCCATTCAGAGCAAGCAAAACATTTGCAGGTATTTTCCTTTGTAGTTTATGCAAACGTCTTTCTTGACATTTGGATGTTTTATACATCAGGGCCAGACAATATGTTCTTGAAACACAATAAATATTACTCTCTTCTTGAAAGCAAAGAAAGAATATTTAAAAATAGTCATCTCAGTGACATCAAAGTATACCGAGAGAGTTAACTGAATGAGTAGGGCTGAGGAGGGACACCTGTCCTTCCAATTAGTGTCCTTTCACTGGGACCTCCTTTCTGTAAAGAGGGAGAAACTGTGCCCTTATCAACATCCGGTGATTGATTAAGACTCAATATCCCCACAACCCCACATAAGCCTCCAACATGAAAGGCAAACATTTCTTGATTAGAAACCAGACCACACACATCATTGAATTAACCCACCTCGTTCAGTGGTTCCAACTGCCCTTTTAGAGATCCGCAAGGAAGCCAGGGGGCGGAAGGGGGTGCAGGGGTTACAAAGAGAGAGAGACAAGACCAGTTTAGCAATATTCCAGCAACTCAAAAAGGAAAACAAACAAACAAAAGCACGCTGCACCCTTCCACTTACCATCCTGGGGAGGGAGCTGACTTGCTAACAAGGTATTGCTATTCTCAGGGCTGCTGCTAGCCTTCTGGTTAACCAACACCGAATGAATGGGCAACTTTAGCATTTCGATCTGATTTGCACCGTATGCTGTTATGAATCAGAGCGGGTGGATAGATAATCATGCTATCCAATGCAGCCACACTTCAGGGGAATCGCAAACCTTCCTATACAGAAATAGCCATGAAGCCAACCCAACAGGACATGATTAGCTAACAGGCACAGAGTGGCTGTCACTTGGCTCCCCCGCCCTCCCAGAAGCCCTACCTTCCAGTTCTGCTCCAATGGTGATGGTGGGGAGTTTCATATGACCACCCACTAATGTGGGGGGGAATCAGCCAGGATGCGGAGCAATGTGCGGAGCTGGTCCTCGGGGGGTGGGGGGACCTCCCTCCCTCTTTTGGCCCCACCTCCACCCCCATGTTCTTCTCACTGGTTGCTCAGGCACAGACAGACTCTCTCCTCCTCTTCCAGATACAGTAGATGCTTTTCCCCTTGGGCAAGTAAGCCAGGTAGGTTAAGGATTCTGTGTCCCAGCCTATAACACATCCCAGAGATGAACTCAGCTGGGGCCCAAACTCAGAACTTTGAAATCAAGGGGACCAAGTTTATTGTCTTTTTCAATTACTTCTCTTGCAAGAAAAAGAAAGTCTCAGTTTGGTCTTAATGTTCACACTTGACCCCACAGTTCCTTTGAAATAAGGAAAGCAGACCCCAGCTTGGATATAGTCCTACCCAGCCTGGTTAATAATACCTGGCTCTAGTCTCCTCAAGTTGATACAATGTATCAACCATAATACCTTGTGTTTATTTTTCCAATTGCCTTCTGCTTATATCAATGATCCTGGTTTCCTATTACCGTAATGACATAAGGTTTCTGCTTTTTATGTGATTTTAAGTAAAATAAAAAGTCCATTTATAGTAAAAAGTTAACAATAGTGCAAGTGGTATGTGGCTGGTAAAAAAGTCATGATCCTTGAGGTGGTGAAGGATTAACTGCAGCTTGGGAAACAGTCAAAGACACTGATCCCAAACTCCTCCAAAACCAAAGCACAAACCACACACTGCACAAGATCTGCAGGTGTTGAACGACTACACAGGGAGCCAAATGGAGAAGTCCTAGTCCTGGCCTCGCCTCACCACCCATCCTGTGTGCTGAGCAAGTCACGGGTGTCTCGGGGCCTGTTTTGTCTTTTCTCTAGTAGGAGAGCTTCTCTCTCCATAAAGAGAAGCTATTGAGATGAGAAAGGAGGCTGGCTATGAAAATGCTTGTGTGCTGCCCTGCTGCAAAATAAAGTGCACCCCTTCTGTGGCTTATGAGAACAAGGTGGCTGTCAAAGCCTGCTGGATCCTAGCAGGTACCAGGCAGTGTCCTGGCAGATACGCAGTGCAGTCAGCCAAGGGCTACATCTTCATGGGGCTCACCTGAGAAAGTGCTTCAAATTTGGAATAAAGTCATGCTCTGCTACAACTACCCATGCCCATGTGCTCAATTTAGGGGATGTTTCCCAGGTACAAGGCGATCAAAAGAGAACTACGTGCAACAGCACGACAGACAGAAACAAGGCCATCCCAGGGCCCCTGGAAGCTGTGCAGTTGTGTCAAGGTCCAGACAGAAGATGAGTGGTGGGAGCAAAGAGAACCCAAGGAAGGAGTTCAGGTCAGATGCCCCCAGGTCCGCTGGCTTGCTGAGGCCCTCCTCCCGCTGGCTCCTCACGGGAGAACTGATGGACACCAGAAAGCAGGAAAAAGGAGAGCCCAGATACCCTAACAGTAGTTGCAAGCTCAGGCCAAATCCAACTCCACGCCTATTTCTACACAGCCCTTGAGCTAAGAATGCAAGGAGTTTAAACGGTTGGGAAAAATAAAATGATTACTGTTTCTTGACCTGTGCAAGGTATATAAAATTCAAATTTCAGCATCCACAAACAGTCACACACCCCCCCCCCCCGAGTACTGGGGACACATGTGCTGCAAATGCTCTCTCACTGAGCTGCACCCGAGGCCCTAAAAAGTTTTATTAGAACACAGCCACGCCCACTCGCTCACTACCATCCGAGGCTGTGCAGCAGCACATTCGAAGTTGAAGAATTATGACAGGGGCCAGGGATAGAGCTCAGTGGCACAGTGCCTACTTGGCAAGCTCGCGTGAGTTTGATTCCCCATACCAAAAACAAATAAATAAGTAAATAAAAAGAATCGTGACAGGCAGAATTGTGGGTCTCAAAGAAAAAAGCATGTACTATCTAGCACTTTATAGAAAATGTTTAACGATATCATTGGCCATCCTTATATGAGATGCTTAACACATCCCCACCACGTGTTTTAGATCCCACCTGACCCGTAAAACTGTGTGGACTTGGGAAGTCACTGAATTTCTCTGTGCTGAAAGCAGTCACTAAGAACCACAGAAGCAGGTTGCAAGGGTCATTTCTCACTAGACCGCGCACTCATCCAGAGGGGCAGCGACTGCGCCGCTGTGCACCGCGTGCAGATGCATAGTTGGTGGTTGTTTGTCGGATGACTGCTGAATGGCGCCCCAGTGGCAGTCGGTTAACCGCAAGGTGCACGGTAAATGTGACCTTCATTGAACTTGAAACGAGGACCAAGGGATTCCATGAAAAGGGAGCCAATCCAGGGACTCTAAGCCCCAAGGGGAGTGGGGAAGCCTCGGCCAGGTGACAGACCATACAGTTCCTGGTAGCCTGAGTCTGAGGACAAGCTGAAGGGATACGTGTGCCAGAGGAGAACTAGGGGATCAGCAGTCCCCAAGCTGAGACTGAGGGCACAAGCTGTGAGCCCCTGGACACAGAAGCCTGTTGGCTTCGGGCTCAGAGGTGCCAGCCCCAGAAGCAAGCAGCTCAGTGGATGTGACTGTGGGTCTGGCTGTGTGACCTTGGCGCTGACCTGTCTCTGCTTCCCTCCTAGCAGCCAAAAAACGGTCTTTTAGGCAAGCAGCCCAGCCCAGCCCCACCCTCCAAAAGGAGGTCTCCGAAATAATTTCAGCCCAAGGACTGTTGGGGGAGCTTCTTCAAGGTGAAGGGGTCCACAACTCCCAGACGCCAATCCAATAGGCTAAAGTAATCGGCTCCTACCCTCACCAGTGCGCTCTGGCCTCTGTGTGTCCCCCAGCCCTCGACACTCAGTGCCCGGGAGGGACGACGTCCTTGTCGCTCCTGGCCGGAACAGCTGCCTCCAGCTCGCTTCGCTGGCCAATTAGCCGGAGCTGTCACCACGGCAACGGCAGCTGGCGGGCCCGCGGCTGGCTCGCCCCGGCCCGCGGCCCCTCCCCTGGGGTGGGGTGCCAGGGAAGGGAGAGGAGAGAGAAAGGGAAGGTAGGGGGGAGAAAAGTCTGCCCCACCCCCCTTCTCTCAAGGGGAGGCGAGGGCGCGCGTGCAGAGCCCACACGGGCCCTCCATCCCGGGATTCGGGGGTCCCCTGCCTCGCCTCCTGGGGCACAGCGCCGCCGCGGCACAGGTTGCCTGAGCTCCGCACCCTTTTCTGCAGGCAAGTTTGTGGGAGCCTAGGCATGTGCCCCTTCCGCGCGCTCCCGGCCGGGGTGGGGGCGGGCACCCCCACCCGCACCCCGCACCTTGCCCAGCCTCAGCCCTACCTGGATGTACGCCATCTTCGCCCGCGCGCACTCACTCCGGCCCGGGCATGGCGCCGCCGCCACCACTTTGCCCTCGCCGACAGGGGAGGGGGAGAGGCGGGGGGAAAGGAGGAAAAAGGCAGCCGGG